AGTTACACCAGCTGCCTAAAGGCAATTCTTAAATCCTTCCTCAAATCCTTCCACGTGTTCTCATTTGGTCTTCAACCCCGCCTATAAGTTTCCTCACCTGAAGAGATGAAGATATGGAATTTCAGAAGGGAAGTAACTTTCTCAGTTTTGGCTACCAGTTAGTGGCAAAGGAGTTAGAGAAGGTCTACTAAGTTACTTTTCTCTGTGGAAACTTAAAAGAGGCTAGATGGGGGATCGGGGTGGTAACGGTGGGAGCACGAAAGAAACCCAAAACGAACAATGCCTTCCCTGCCTTCCCATAATTCTGTCTGGGCCCTGTTATGTCATGCAAAGGCTGTATTAGATCTGCTGCTGTTTAGAAGAGCTAGGAGGAAAGGGCATGGAAGGAGGAAAAGAAAAATGGACAAGGCTTATTATTTCCCAAATGCAGGCACCAGACCATCTGTATCAGAACGGCCTGTTTACCAAGTGGTACAGCCTGGAGCACGGGATCATAAATGTCAATTATAGACTGTTCTTCCCCCAAGAAAGGACCAGAGGTGTACTTCATCAGTGTATTTCAACCAGATATTTTATTGGTCTGGCAACTGCAAAATATACAAATTTCTGAAAGGCATTCCCTGTTTGAAAGCTAGCATAGCTTCATCCCAGGTTATTAATTCAGACAAATATACAGAACACAGGTAAGTCATTAAGTCACACATCAGAGGCCCCCAAAACCAATTAACAACTAAACCCAATCTATATACAGCTTTCTATTTGCAGGCTCCCTTATACATATTAAATAAATAAATAGCACATCTGCTATCAAAATAATAAAAAAATAAATTTCAAGTATTACAGATGAAAAACATCATTGGTGTGGTTCAAACAGTTTTTCTTCTTCTCCCACGAAACGAAGAACTTTGCCCATGGTAATATTCTCAGGACAGAATGAGTATGGGGAAATCCACCCAAAAGCAAATATGCAAAGTTAGAAAGATTGGTCCCACGTTTTTTTGGAGGGTGGGTGAGAGTGGGGAACGGAGTGAGAGTCAGTTCTCTCAGCAGAGGCTCCATGGCTGTAGCTCACACACACCCTCCATTCAAATGCCTCCTTAGTCAGCTCACTGGCTTTCAGGCGGCATTCTACCTCTCTCCAAGAGCTCTTCTCCTTATGTCTATTTCTCCATCTCGGCTTAGCCCCTTATTAAATTAAAGTTCTATGTTAGAGAAAGCCTTATTTGTATATTTAAGTAGTCAGAGAGGAGGGGAAAACGCACCCTCTCAACACCCTCACATGTGGAAGACTTAAAAGCCTATAATCAAAAAGTCTGCTCCAACAAACAGAAATGAGGCCATTCTTGCCAGAAAAGTAGGACATAAGAAAACCATTCTCAAGAGCGAAGTTGCAGGCCCTTCATGGCTAAAAATATGACCATCCTGCTTACATTCTCCGTCTCTGTCTCTCACACACACAGTGTCTGACCAGACCACTCAAGAAGGTGGGAAAAGGGGCTAAGAATCCAAGTCCTGTATTTATAGACTCCTCTCAGGCAGATGGCCAATTCAATTGGGGAGGGGGGTAGGGAATAAGGGAACAGTTTGGTGTGAAAACCACAGGATTGCAGAGAATCTGAAGCACACCCTCGTCCTCCTAGATCCCCTCGATCCCCAGCAGGGACAGTGAATTCATTAAGAGCCTCTCTCTCTCTACTCCCAGCTTCAGGTATCTAACTTCCAGGAACTGTTCCCTTGAGCTACAATGGGAGGGGACGTTAAGGGCTCAAAGGTAGAAGGCAGGAAAGAAAAGTGACCTTTGGCCCCAGTTTCCAGAAATCCCTAAAAGGGTCATGTGACAAAAACTCTTCAGCTGAGTCTTCAAGTTGTTTCTTCTGGGCCTCAAGACACCTCTCCACCCTCAGCATTTGGAGGCAACTAGAAAGAGCCATCTGGCAGAAACGAGAGCTATTTAGGATCACACAGTCGCTAAATCGGGCTTCCATCCTTTCCCTCCCCTCCATCCCTAGTACACTACAGGTGCCTTGAAGGCAAGGCAAGCACGACAGTTTATTCTTCTGAGTTCCCCACGGCACCCAGCACAGAGCCAGGCAGGCACGCAGCAGGTGCATAACAAAAACCTATGGAACTGACTGAATCCAGACAGAAGTCACAGACAGCCTCTTGAGGAAGTGGCATGTCTAATGAGGCCTGGCTTGGGACACGGTTCCCACCTGGGAAACAGGTGGTGAGGAAAGTCCTGAAGGGAGGAAGCCAGATCCCTGTGCTTCTCCATGCCGATCTCCAGAGGCAGTCCTGCAATCATTTGAAGACTTGACCCCTGATCAATTTACTGGGGCCCCTCTGAGGTTCCCCATGTCATGGGCATACCCAATCCCCCACATTCTCTCAGAGGCTCAAAGCCCCAAAGAGTATATTACCCAAACCCACAGTTCCCTAAAGTGCAACTTTCTCATCCATGTCTTCCAGAACAAAGTGCAAAAGCAAGCAGCTCCAGGAGAGTGATGCTCTTGTTGGGGGCCTCCAAATAAAGGCTGGAAACAAGGGGCTCCCTGTGAGAACGAGGCCCAACTTAGCATATTTCGGCAAAATCCTTCGTTTGTCCTTTAACATCTTTAGAGGCAGAACAAGACCTGAGAAGTATGTGGGCATGCGGGAGAGTCACCGGTGTGTCACCTCTTAGCTGACAAGCAAGTCTCAGCTCAGGGATTTCTCTGGAAAAAAGTATTCATCTCTCCATATCCAGGTCTGGCTCCCACGGCCCCAAATCACCACATGCCCAAGTCCATCTCCATGAGGCATCTTCCCAGGCCACGAGGCTCCAAAAAGCCATGCAGAAGTTTTTAAATACCCCTTAAACTTCAGCAACTAGCATCTAACTCGCCCTTAGGTTTTGGATTCTGCTGCCAGTGTCCTCTCCCCAGCTGTGAACATCCGAGGCCAAGCTATAACAAAACAAACAGAACAGCACAGAGGAGCCCTCCTCAGGGCTTTCTCGTATTTCATCTGCCAGTCATTCACCCTCCTATCCAAGTCTCTTGGAAGTCTCTGAGGGCAGACATCCCTGGAAGACTGGAGTGGGTAGAGGACAGAGTAGTCTGCAAAGCAACACAGGAAGCGATGGGGTCTGTACACAGGAAAGGCCTTCTAGTGCCTCAGCCCCCGCGCACTGCTGGAGGCGCGGATTCTCTTGCACCTGCAGACTGCCCCTCTCCACCACCTCCACCCAGTCATGGAAGAAGTCTCTCTAGGATCTCTGTGGCCTCAGGCTGACAGAAGAGCACAAGATAAGCTTCAGAAATGGAAATGGGATGGAATCGGATTTATCTGCTTCAGTGTCCCCTGAAGGAGGTGTCCATGCTGGTCTGGGACCCTTTCATGTTCTGTTTTGGGGAGAAAAGAGGGGAGGGGTCAGAGAATTATTATTTACTTTCAACTATGTCTCTCAACCAAAAGAGTCAAAGCCAAGCAACTGAGAATTCTTCTCCCTGCCACCCCTCAAATGCAAATAAGAACACAATCCCAGAAGAGAGCCCAAGGGAGGATCGTAGGAACATGGTGCATGATAACCCATCAGAGTCACACCAGGAGAAGGGGGCAGGGCACAGGCCAGGAACTCTCTTAGCAGAGAGACCTGTCATCTGCCTGAAGGAGGTAAGGGGAATGCCAGCTGGCTCAAAACTAGTAGCTGTTCTGGGATGAGTGGTGAGCTGGTAGGAGCTGCATGCTGATACCTAAGTGAACCTTATCCTCATGGTTCTTTAGAAATCTGTGGCTGCTCCCTCTTCCACACAGTGAACTCTCCCTGGCCACAGCCAAAAAGATGAGCTGGGGATCTTTTAAATAAGCATTAGTATTTTCCCAAATCAGCTAAAAACAGAGCCTCACGTCCACAGCTTTTAGGATCCAAATTGTAGGAATGCCACTGGCAAATGAGAACATACTGATGACCGGGGCTAGGCAGACATAGCAGAGAAAGGCCCGGTTAAGGTGAGTGTGGGCTCCTGAGGGGCCACAGCAGAGAAGACAGGCATCACTAAAGCTTCTGCTCTAGTTCTAGTAAAAGTGCTCTGAATAGGACACCCCACCCTTAGTAGGAACTCTAGAGTCAAAACTTCCTTAATAGCAAAATGACATCAGATGGGACAGATGACTGCTCCCACTGCACAGCAAAGGACTGTTTACTGAACCTCTGTAATCTATCCCTCAAGAAAAGAAACATATGCAGGTTTTAGAGGTATCCTAAGTGTCTCCACCAAAACTCTTTTAAAGAGGGTGGGAAGAGATAGCAAAACTAGGCAGACAGATATGCGAGGATCACCATGGTCTACTCTCATGCCCAGCAGAACTGAGGGCCTAAGGCTGGAGAAGTCTCTAGATAAGAGAATCTCAGGGCTATAGCAACACTGAAGCCAGCCTGGATCTTAGCCTGCTCTTACACAGACTAAGGAACCCAGGTGATCTGGTCCTCAAACCACCACTAAGTTAGAAATCTCTGAGTGGGTAAGTTTCCTGGAAGTCACCCTGTATCCTCCCATCTAGAGAGAACCACAGCCACCTTCTGGAATTGGAGTGTCAGCTGTGCTATTTCCCTCCACAGCTGCTGGCTCCAACCTGCCCCTGGACAACACCAACCAGCGCACACAGCTTCCAATACCCACAAATGGTAACAATGTAACAATGACAGCAGAGGACCACCAGGCATGAGTTATGTCCACAGCACTCACTCATGCTTCTCCTGGCTCAGGATACATGGAGGAGGAGAGACAGACCAGAAAAAGGGAAGATAAGAGAGGACCACAAGACAATGGTAATACTCTTAAAAAAACAAAACAAAACAAAACAAAAAACCTCTGGCACTGAGATATGTGAGTCACATATGTAACAATGGCCAGTCTTCACACAGAGCAAGATGCCTGAGAGGCTGAGATGCCAAGACACAGAGAGATGCAGTGAGGACAAAGGAGGGGCATGCATCGAGTCATTTACCTTTCCAAGGATTAGTAAGGAGAAAACTTTGAGAAAATGTGACAGACAGTTCGTCTTTCAAGCATAATGGTGAAAGGGAAAAAAAAAAGAGGTTGGAAAAGAAAAAAAAAACATCTTTAGTAGTACTTTCTTTTTAATGTGCATTTGAAATTTAAAAACAAAGAGTATATTGTGAATGTTGAAAGGTCTCTGCGTCCCTGTGCAGCCAGGGCAGCCCCAAGAGAAGACTGCAGTGCACTGTGTCCTGGGCTGTCGTTCTTATTGTACTGGGAAGCCAAGACTACCGGGCAACAGACCTCAGGATATGGTTAGTAGGATAACAACCCATATGACCTCAGGGGCTGTCACCATTCCTACTTCTTTGGGTGCTACCACTGTCCATGAGAAGGAAACCTAGTGCTTGGTGTAAGGGCACAGGAAGCATGAAAATGCAGAATGGTGTCGCCCAAACCCAGACACCTGGATGTGTCCACCAAGTCACTGGGGCACCAAGTCCCTCACCCAAAAATCACAGCAGCAACCGGCCATCTGGCACTAACTATGTGCCAGACATTGTGCGGAGAGCTACACTTGTATTATCACACCACCTTATACCTCCATGTTACAGATAAGGAAGCTGAGGTCTAGAATTGTGTTAAGTTGCCCAAAGATAGAGGGCAGTAGAACAAAGGTTCAAAGTCTGCTTGGTCTGACTTTTAACAATTTTGGTCCTGATGCCTAGATCAGTTCCTGGAACCACATGTGTCTCCAATCCCAACAGTAAGTGCCTCTGTGAGCAACACACTCCCAGGCTGGGCTGAACAGGGGCCAACAGAGTAGAGTCAGGAGGGACAAGTCTATAGAGTATGTTTTTGCTGAGCTGGAGGGATTCTAGGCAAAGACATTATTAACCTTAGAGATACGGAAGTTCAACTTTAGAAGAGTTGGGGATATACAACCAAAGGTACCCTCCCAGGAGGAAGATTCCTCCCTGGCAACATATCAGGCCATGGTCACAGGAATGGGATACGCATAGCTGCAAAGCTATTGGGTCCAAATCCGAGGGCTACTTTTCATACAAGGTGAACCCTTGATTTTAAAGTATTCCATGTGTAAACCCCAGCTTCAAGGGGATAACAGATAATGGACCATGAAGATCTCCAAAAAATGGAAGTTAATGGAGAAGGTCCGCTATTAAATAGACAATGCTGAAAGTCAGCAGGTATGAAGCAAGTCAAACAGTTCCAGGCCAGTGCCCTGTGGGCTGCAAACATCAGGTGCCTCTGGGGAGAGGTAAGTAAATAGTATCTTGGCTGGTCCCAGAAACTGGTACAGAGAGAGAAGCCAGCTTTCAGAACGAGGAGACTTGTTCAAGTCCTGGTTCTGCTACTTACTAGCTGGATGACCCCAGGCGAGTTATTTAATTTCAGTCCTCATCTATTAAGCAGGGATAGTAACTGCTCTGCCTACCTTATAAAGTTATTTCAAGGACCAAAGACACTGGATGTGCAGGAGCACATTCTCTGTGAGCTGCAAAGCACTACAAAATACAGCACTCCATGTGGTACGACCACCAGAGTCCCTGGGTGGTGTCAGCGCTCAGCTGCTATCTGAAACATTAGCACTCTGAGTCTACCCAGAGGTGACTCAGAAGAAACTCCTGGTGATTTACTTCCAAAAAGTCAGCCACTGAAAACCTTATGGAGCACAGTTCTATTCTGATACTCCTGGGGTCGCCAGGAGTCGGGATCGACTTCATGGCAACAATTTTTTTGATGGTATTATCACAATGTAAACATGATGTCCAAACAGCTCCCGTTTTCCAAAACCACTCTACTAAGCTCATCAGGCTGAACTCTTCAAACCTTTTCAGCTTCAGCATAATTCAGTCAACCTAATGAGCAAAGAGGAACTATGGGATAGGAGTGACTTGGGGGTGCAGTGGGGTAGGGTGATAGTTTATGGAGGCTTTTACTGAAATTCTGCTACCTTCTGTGGCTGGGGCTCACTGGAGCAATGTTGTTGTTATTGTTGTTGTTTGCTGTCAAGTTGGCCCCGACTCATAGCAACCCCTCCTTGGGTTTCTGACTCGACGGCACATAACAACAACAACACTGGAGCAATAGGAACAGTGAATTATCCAGTGGCTGCTACTGCTAGTGCTTAACCAGAACTTTTCTGCCAGAGAGCTCCAACTGAAGGAAAGGAGGACACAATTGAGTCTATCTGAAACCTGCACACAATCTTGGGCAGGATTATTAAGAAGGAGTAGGTTCACATACAGGACAATCTAATCCAGAAGAACAGTTTCCATACAGAGCCTTCCAGTGTATGGAGGGCTCCCTGGAGCCTTCTGGGAGTTACCACCAGGACTAGGAGGGAGAGGCTGCAGGGCTCCAGGCCTACAACACGCTCTGCTCCGCACCACAGTACTTCCCAGTAGATTTGTTTTGCAGATTAGGTTGTGGGTAAATTTCCCTTTCAAAATGAAAGTGTTCTACTAGGGGAAGGGGAAGTAAGCTTAAAAGACAATGGTAGCAGGCAGACTTAGCTTGCCACCAAAATCTAAGAGGGTAAAATTGGATTTATGTCACATCACAGACCATTCCAATTGCAAAGAGAAACCCAGAACCCAGAGAGGGACTGAGGGAAAGCAATCTGGAGCAGGAGCAGCATCAGAACACAGTGACAAACAGCTGGGCCACAGTTCCTTCTTGTATATCCTTTTCTAAGACGTCATGGATTCTCCGCCCCCCTCCTCCCATCCCTATCTCCTCCTTTGCCCAAGGCAGACTTCAGACTTCACAAGAGCCATCATCAGCCTCAACGCCTGAACAGGAAGAAGGAGTCCAAATTGACAAGCAAGAAGAAAGAGGTGCAAGCACAGCAAAATCATTCAGAGAAAAATACTTACAAACAGGCTTTCCCTAGCAAAGGCTGCAGGGAGAAAAAGTTGAGAGAGAAGTCAGAAGGGAGACAGAGCACAGGGGCCAAGTCATTTGAAACCAGGGTGTATTCTGCTGGGGTAATGCCCTAGCATGGCTGACGGGTTCTAGGCTGCTGAAAATCATGGGGCAACTGTGAAGTGGGGAGTGGGGCTGGGGAGCAGACTAAGGCATCTGCCACTCTACTCTCTATGACTGAAGGCAGTCAGCTCTGGGCATCTACCTCCTGCCTAGGCTTGTCTCCTCCCAAGTACCTACGACAATGGTTCCTAAACTTCCAAATATGACCCAACATTTATACCAAAACAGGATGTCATAGCTATGCCATTTTTGTTCTCAGTTTTCACAAGAAGCATCCTCTGATTTTATACCAGAAAGGACTATTTATTAGCAGTCTCCCCGCTCCTACCCCCTCATTTTAAAAGACAAGGAGACTGAGGCCCAGGGGGGTGAAATTACCTAACAATTAAAATCCTACAGCTAGTAGCAGAGCCACAACCAGAAGCCGGGTCCTCCAGACTCCTAGTTAATCCTCATCATCTGAGTCCTATGGAGCACTTACTATGTGACAGGCATTGTGCTAGACATTGGCATGAATTACCCCCATTTCATCTGCCTTTTGCAAAGGGTGTTATTCCCCCATTCCACAGATGAGAAAACTGGGGCCTAAGGTTAAATAACCTGTTTGGGGTTGCATAGTAATCTCCTCCACATCACATTTCTAGACCCCACCAAGCTTTAAGTAAGCTGTGGGAGAAATCTAGAATGGGGAAGTCCACAGAGGCAGCAATAACAGTAGCCTCAGCATCCAGTTCATGAACAAATACAACTCCACGTTTCCCATGTTCTTTGTAAAAGACCAGGCTTGGCAGGTAGAGGTGGATGGAGGTGGAGTGGGACTCTTGGGAGGTAACAAAATTTGTGCCTCAGGATTTCTACATCTCACATATTTGCAAAAGGTTCTTGGCTGTCTTTGAAGAAAAGACTGGTTTTGTGAAAACAAATTTTAACACCCAAAAGGAGTGGCTGGTGGGTTTGAACTGCCAGCCTTCTGCTTAGCAGTTAAATGCCTCAGACACTACACCGCCAGAGCTCCCTTAATCTTCATAGCTAAAGAAATAAGAGATCTCTGCTGTTTGTTGGGTTTTGTGTGTGTGTGTCTCCTATCTGCTGAGCTAACTCTGTTATGTGAAAAAGCAGTTATTTCCTAGTTATCCAGTTCTGACAGTAGGGCTTCAGGGTTCTAACTGGGCTGTGCTGGATTTAGGACAAGCTCCATGGGCCCCTTCTGACTACAGCTTTTCTGTAACGGGGCACAATTATGAGAAAGGAAGATAAGTAAAAATACTCAGACATGGCCATGGGACCGAAAAGAAGCCCTCATGCAACAACACAGAGGCAAAAGGGCCCAAAGCTGGAATGGAGAGACTTCTGGAAATTGCCCGTAGACTTTGTTTTAGAAAAAACTATTCATGAACGTGAATGGGACTCAGATACTTTAAACACTATTTCTTCTGCTCTGCCTGGTTCTGTTTCTCAGAAAGCAGGAGGCACACACAGTCACAACCAGTGCCAGCAAGGAAGGACCCCCACAGTGTTACAACCTTTAAAGGAACTTTCTCATATTCTCTCCCCTACCCCACATCCCCAACTCACCATGTGCACACACATGCACACACACCACATGCATGCACACACACGTATGCACGCATATACATATACACACACTCTACCCCTCTGCACCTGAGGTCATTACTATACCCACAGGGTAGTCTTCTCCCCACCCACAGGCAGGCGACGTGACTGAAGGAAAAGGGAGTCAACTAACTTGTCCGGGCAGCTGCGTGGGCACCTCCTGGGGCAGGCAGTTGGGCAGGGCAGCAGAAGAAGAAGCCACATGCTCCTCAAAGCTGTTGATGCGAGGCTTTTTGGTGGGCTCAGGGCTGGCTAGTGGGGTGACACTATTGCGTCTCATGAGTGGGTTAGGTCCCTTCTTTGCATCCTAAGCAAGACAAAGAAAAAAGAGAGAAGGCGACAGTTACAAGGAGGCGGGAGATAAATGAGCCAAAAAAAAAAAAAAATTTTTTTCTCTGCCTCGGGATTCTAATGAAACAGGACTGTTCGAGGGGAAGGTCCTGGGACAATGGAGATGCTGTTTGTCCTATGATGCCCAGCTGTCCAAGAACAGGGGATGATTTCCTTCCATGGTCCCTTCCTGGATCATTCCAAAAGACACCTTATAGCAAGTGCAAATGGATGTGTGCAAAGTACAAAAGATGGAGCAGGTGAGGGAAGAACACCAGTATAAAAATTCTCCACTTTGGTTCAACACAAAGAAGTTATTCAATGACAGCAGATAATGAGGTTCCAAGAAAAGAGTCTTCTTTCTGGACTCTCAGAAAGGCATAGAGATGGGGGAGTACAGGAGGAGAGAGAGCTGGCTGTGTGGAATACAGAAGCCAAGGCTCACTGGTAAGCACAGGGGGGCAGGCACAGAGGGATAGATAGGAAAATGTGTATCTGTTTGGCTTCCCTTCCACTGACTGGCTAGTCCAGGATCCAGGACCCATCCCTTTCTGCAGAGTACACATGGAACAACTCATGTTCCATATAAATGTCCCAGCTTAAGACAGCAAATGAAGGGTTCAAAATCACCCAGGAGACTAAAGGTACCAAAAATTGAGGGGCACAGCTAGGCCCAGACACACTAGCCTTGTGATCAACATAACAGTGTGCTATGGGCTGAGGCGGGGGGGGGGGGGCTCCTTCTGGAAAAGCTTAAAAAGAATGTGAGGCCCGTATCTCAGATGAGGCAGGCCACTCCTACGTAGCAGCAGACACAAGGCTCCGAAGTCCTGCAGCCCACCGTTCTGTAGCTCATGGCCCAGGAGCCCAAGTCCAGGTCTGTTATCTGTCATGACCCTGCCCAGTCCCCTCCAGAGAAGTATTTAGGGACCATGAGAGTCAAGTCCAGGCCCAACCAAAGCAATGGGGCAGCAGGCTGGAGCCTGGCAGAGAACCTGCACCAGCCATTTCCTCTCTAGCCAGGGCTGCTCCTGACATGACTGAAGGCAACATTCACCACATCTGGAAGGGGCAGTCAGAATAGGGGGTCACAACCAGCCAGCCAGGTAACTCCCAGTGAGAACAAACTTGAGCTAACGTCTCACATCTCCCTTAATGCCAAAATCTTGTAGTTGAGCTCCTGGAGAACAAGGAAGTCACCAGCTCTTGGGACCTCCATGGGCAGAATGTAACACTTGATGTATAAGAAGGGGTTGGACTAATATAGGCAGAGCATTCCATCTTGACAGCCTGTATAAAGCTAAATCAAAGGTACTTTCCCAATATATGCTTGGAGAGAACACTAATGTGCTCAGGTGAAAAAGCCTACCTGACAGATATCCTGAGGTGGAAATCACACAAAATCAAACACTGGAATGTCTTGAAAAAAAAATTTTTCTGTTCACCATCCCTGATTCCTCTAACTCTCAAATCATATCCATTTTTCCCTAGTCCCACTTCCTTGTCTTATACTATCATCATCTCAGTACCTCTGTACCTAAGCACATAGAGATGATTAAATTGATACCTAACCCTGTTTTAACCAGTAACTCTAAAACCTGAAAATATAGTTTTACTACCTGAAAGGAAAAGGCAGCAATAATCGTGCTATAGCTACTTTTAAAAGAGGAAAAATATGTGTCTTCCTCTTTAATACTCACTTCTCAGGTCAGGCAGAAATGGGGAAAGAGACAGAGCTTTGAACCAGTTCTTCCTGGTTCAGTCATGGCCAAAGAAGCAAAACCGGAATGGACCCAAATTTGTAAAATGTGGGTGACCTTGAATGGTAACTGGAACAGAAAAAACTATGGGTCGACACCCTGCTAAAAACTTAATCTCCCTCTTAGAAAATAAGGGCAGCATGTGCATTGCATAGCAACCAAATCTCTTAACCGGAAGTTGGAAACAACGGTTTTGAGCACAAAACAGATGCTCAAAGATGGTAGCCAACAGTGCTGCTTTGAATGTGTGTCTCTTTCAATACCAAACCAAACCAAACTCACTGCCGTCGAGTTGGATCCAACTTATAGGGACTCCTCCTTGGGTTTCAAGGTGATATCACTATGGAAGTAGCCTGCCCCAACCTTCCTTCCGAGGAGTTGCTGGTGGGTTTGAACCGCCAGCCTTCTGGTTAGCAATCGAATGCATTAGGCACTATGCCACCAAAGCTCCTTCTCTCTCAATAGTCCTGGCTATAATCCAATCTCTTGCAACAGGTTCCTCAAAGTGCTCACTACGCCTCTTCCGAGTCTCTCATTCCAGGGCTTCTACCCATAATTTTTCCCATTATTGTTCCACTTCACTCAAATTTTATAAATTTGGGTCTGTTCTAATTTTGCTTTGTCAGCCATGAATGAATTGCTTCAAATTGGTTCAAAGCCATGGAAAGAGATTACGGGAGGGTGGGGGTGGAGGTGGAAAACTTCCAGAAGCCACAAAAAAGAGAGAGAATACACAGATGTGGAGAAAAAGGAGGTGAGAAAATCAACAGATCTAATTCAAACAAAAATTACAATAGTGACAACATGACTGATATAACTGGTGTCACTGAATTATATATGTGAGAAATGTTGACATGGCAAATGTTGGGTTATATGTATTTTTATAACAATTTAAAAAAATTACTATAGTGAGAACCAGCTGAAAAGTACATGTCAGCATTTATAAGGAACTCAGTCAGACTTCATCCTTCTTAAGTGTGTAAGCTCACTGGCCCCTTACTCCACAGGAGTCCTTCAAGTGACAGACAGGGTGGAAATACTGAGGGAGAAGGAGGCACTGAAATCCACTCACCTCTGACCTTTCCCGGTGTGTGCTCACAGACTCCACATTCAAATAGATGGATTCTACCCGGCAACCTGGGGCAAAGGAGGGAGAAAGAGTACAGCTTCTGTTAATAAGGAGATGGCCCCTGTTGAAAGCTCCACAGTCACCATGAGGAGCAGCCGGAGGGGAGTGTATCTTAGCAAGAGCTGCATCACTTACCATAAGCAACAGGTGTCAGCTTCAGGACTGTGTGAAGAGGGCATTTCAGGTAGGGCATCTCCTCTGAAAAGAAAGCAGATATGACCCCATGATGAAACAGGAGACTTGAGGCAGGGGGATTTATAGACTGACACCCACATTCACAGTCTACAGTGGGAGCTTCTGACATGCTTGTGCCCTTAGAACCCAGGCCCAAGCAGGGGAACTATCCCCCAGCACACAGGCCATCCTACAACCTGCCAGCACAAAACAGAAAGAGATACCTAGCTGAGGAACAAATTTTAAAAATTCACCCTTTCACAATGTCAGAATTAGAGTTTAAAAAACAACAATAAAAAAAAGGCTTTCCCAAAGCAATTAAGTGTGTCTTGGGATTCAACTGAACCTTAGGGAGATGTAAGACTTACCTGTTAACAGCATCTTTAGAGAATGCTGTGCTGTTTGTTCCCAAGAGGTGGGCTGAAGAGAAGAGTTTCCCCCCACCCCAATATGCCCCAAAGACCCTTAGATTTATGGAGACCAAGGGCTTTCTGGAGACTGTTTTACAATGCTACGAAGCCCACTGTGCATCAAACTGTGTTCTGAAGAGTTTCCTAAGGGCCAGTGAAGTAGCCTGTATTGAAGAAGACCCCTTTGTGGGCTGTGCAGCCAGACACATATACTGACTTTCTTAACATTCAGCAACACAACAGAACAGTGTCTTTGTGGGAAATGATGTGCTACGTAGATACGCCATACTAAAGGTCAATTTCCCTCTTCCCTCCTTAAGTGTGAAACTTTCCCAATTCCTGATTTCCCCATACAGAATGCTTCAGAGGATGGGCATTACCTGCACTCTTATCTAGAAAGTAGGCCAAGAGGCAACGCAGGACAGCCTGGTGACAAATCACCAGCACATTCTCCTGACGCTCCAGCTCCATGATCACTGGCTCCAAACGCTGGACCAGGTCCTGGTAGGACTGCAAGACAGAGGTGCCAGCCCTGCGTTAGAGCAGAACTGCACGTAGGAAGCATAGGAGTGCCGCCACCCGGCCACACCTTTCTCATCATCATAAGCCAGAGAACACTCACTACTCAATACCCTGTGAGGTTTAAATACTGTATCCCAGTGGGAAGGCTGGGGTGAGTAGTGACCCTCTTACCAAGGAGAACTAGCACAAGCAGCTTCCTGAAAAAGGCAAATCACCTTTATGTTGACAAGAATTTGGTGATGTATGGGTATACCTTGGAGATATTATGGGTTCAGTTTCTGAACTACCACAATAAAGCAAATATTGTTAGAAAGCAAGTGACATGAATTTCTTGTTTTCTCTGTGCATATAAGTTATGTTTGCGCTATAGTCTATTCAGGGTACATTATGAAAAAGTTTAAAATATTTTGAGAATTACCAAAATGTGATACAGAGACACGAAGTGAGCACATGCTGTTGGAAAAATGGTGTCGACAGACTTGCTTGACACAGGGTTGCCACAAACCTTCAGTTTGTAAAAAATGCACAATCTGTGAAGTGCAATAAAGTGAAGCACAATAAAACAAGGTGTGCCTATACTCTTCTGAAGGGCAACAATACAGCTGCCATACTGTCTCTCTGAGCAACTTCCTTTTCTAATCCTCAACATAGGAATTAGAGATAGGTGTGGCTGAGAAGGGGTATGGAATATTATTAAGCCATAAAAAGGCATGAAGTATCAATACATGCAATGATATGGATGAATTCTGAAAACATTATACTGAGTTAAATAAATCAGATATAAAAGGCCATACACTGTGGGTCCATGTACATGGAATGCCCAGAACAGCCACATGCAGAGACAGAAAGCAGATTAGTGGTTGCCAAGGGATGAGAAGAAAAGGAAAATCGGGACTGACCACTAACAGGTGTGTTATTTTTTTTGGGGGGGTGATAGAAATATTCTGGAATTAAGACAGTGGTGATGTCTACACAACATTGTGGATACACTAAAAACCACTGAAAATGGTATACTTTAAAATGGTTAAAATGGTGAATTTTGCAGTTTGTGAATTTTATCTCAATAAAGTAAAACTAAGGTCAGGCTTGTGACTTTAAAACAGGAACATCAAGGCAACTATTGCTGCCGTCTTCCTTCTTTCACTAACTTGGGTCCTGGGAGTGAGGACCAGTGTGAGCCTATGTGTCCCGGCCCACAAAGGAATCACGCTGACAAATGCTGAGGAGGGTCACAGGAAGGGCCCATGCTGGTGTCCCAACGTCGATGCCTGCAGGCTGGTCCCCAGGCACCCACAGCACCTGGACACTCTGTCCAGTGCTTGCAGCAGCTACTCCCCAGCCAAAGTGAGTTTTATACCAGGCTTTGGAAACTGCCGCTACGTGACCACCTGTCACATGACCACACTGTCACCTGTGACAGTGCCTGTCAGTACAAGTGACGGGAAGTAACACACACACAGCTGGCATGTCAACCAGCTCGCCCGTGGTCAAGTAAAATCCCTTTGTGTTGGGTGAATAATCATTGGCAATCTTCTTTCTTCCTCATATCAGTACAAATGCCATTAGACAAACACATGTCACTTTCACTGAATGGAAAATACAACTGTATTTCTCCTGGAACTGTTTCTAAGGTTCAATTTAGGAAGATTCAATTCAAAGGTGTAAAGTGCTAGGAACAAGCATCCAGAATAGGTTAGGAGATCAAAAAAATATTGGTTGGATGTCAGATTCCTTCTTCCTTGGAGCTGACTACTCAGTTGTGCACAATCAGTCGGTACTTGGGATCCTTCCGGGTCCCCTGTACCTTCTCTTGGCCTCCACTAAGGCTCTTCATGAGCTTCTCCATACTCAACACACACCATCTACACTTGGATCATTATTTGCCGAGTGAAGAAATGACTACAGATGGAAAAGAGAGGCAAGAAATGAGGATGGCCCCAACACACATACCTCACCAGTGGGATAGCGGTAATAGTATTTGTCCTGTTCACGCAGGGCATATTCCTCAGGGTAGGTCTCCTTGATCTCCTCGTAGGTCATCTCCTCACAAACGCCCTGGTGGAAACACTCAGAGGTCACTCAAGGGAATGTGTCCAAAAGGGTCAACACAACCCATGTGAGTCTGAAAGAGATCTTAGGAAGTCGCAATGCCCAGGGACAATTTTCTTGGGTACAGGCTACCCTCTTTCTAACTGATTCAGAGGGAAGAGGCCTCCACAACCCCTCTCCCTCCAGCCTGCCCACGTGGCCAGATCCAGGCACTCACAGCATCAATTTCGTTGAGTGCCTTCCACTGCTCATAGGGAAGTTTAAGGGCTTCTGCTGTCTGGATGGTACTTTTCAGCTGGCTGGTCCACACCTTAAGGTCCTTCAGGTTCTGTTCCTCCACAAACTTGCTCAGGGCATTGGCAAACTGAAGGGCCATGGGATGAGAGAGGAAACACACACATTGGACACTAGGGCTCCTGCTCCTGCTCTAAGAAGCAATGGCAAGATTCATTCACCCTCCACATTAAAGACTACCATGCTACTGAAGTTACAATGGTGAAGAGCCTGGCAGCAACTAGCTCCAGCCGCTAGCAACTAGGACCAGTCCCCTCCATGCACACCAAATCAGCCTTCCTCAAAACCCCAGCAGACTCTTGCCTTTTCAGTGCATCTTAGCATGCTAAGGCAGTAGCTGCAGGAAACACAACACCTTACCCACCCCCACTGACATTACAACTTCCCTACAGAAAGGAGACACACTTCCTTTCCTGTTGCATCCCTCAACTTCCTCCTACCTTCTTGCCCCTGCTGGACAGGCCAGAGTCACCTCCGATCTTCCCTAGGAGGTTGTACTCATTCTCCCCATGCCGACATAAGTAGATGGTGCGGGGCTGCACGTGGATGTTCATCAGATAGTACACAATTCGGCTCTGGATGTGGTCCTGGACTCTGTTCACCAAGAACCTCCGGCCAACATCGATCACCTTGATGAGTGACAAGTCCCTGCATAGAAATGCCACCAAGGATTAGCCATCAGAATGTTCTACCTGTCAGCACAGCACACCCAGCCTCTTGTACAAATCGCCTGGCTCATCATCCAGAAGACTTATTGGTCAACAGAACTGTAAGGTCAGACTGTAAGCTCCTGGAGAGCAAAGTCTGAATCTATTTTCTACAAGAGCCAGAGAGTAAAAACACAGCAACCAATTTCCACAGCATAGGGCCTGGCCAAGAGGGTGGCTGGACTCCCAGGAAAGCAAGAAAATAGAAAAGAAAATATCATAGGGCAAGTACCAAGATTAGGACTCAACTAGATTCACATCACACAATTTCTTCTCCTTAAAATTGGAGTAAAGACCAGGTGAGGTGGGGGAAGATGCGAGAAAAAGGAGAAAGGGAACATAAAGGACTTCTCTCTCCAACACCAGGAAATGCGTTCTGTCTGACTTTGAGGCAAAGTTGCATAATAGTTTAGAGCTCAATGCTAGAGGTTCAAATTCTAGCTCTTCCACTTACAGGCTTAGTTAACCTCTCTGGATCTCAGTTTCCACATTTGTAAAATACGATGACGGCAATAATAGTGCTTACCTCAAGCTGTTATGAAGACTAAATAAATTAGTATTTATGAAAGACTAAGGACAGAGAATGGCATACAGCACTGTAATTGCTTGATATAAAAATATAACATGGGATTGCAATTAATATCATGAAACAAAATGTTTATAAATTGTTGAATGAGAAACTATTTTACTCAGTAGACATTCACCACAACAAAATGTTAAATATGAAAAAAAAAAATCAGGAGTCAAATGTATATTTACTTTCTATACTTCCACATAGTATCTGGGAGTTCTGGTGGCGTAGTGCCTGAGGCATCTGACTGCTAACCAGAAGGCTGGTGGTTCAAACCCACGAGCCACTCCTCGGAAGGAAGGTTGGGCAATCTACTTCCGTAGAGATACTACCTTGGAAACCCAAGGAGGGGTCTCTATGAGTCAGATTCAACTGGAAGGCAGTGAGTTTGGTTTTGGTTTGGAACATAGTATCTAAAATATTTATTGTATTGGTAATTGGGGAGGGGAATAAAAGAAATTCTTAAAGAGCTAGTGTAAAAGAATGTACACGCATATTCTTTGTGGGAACGTCTGGTGGTGTAGTGGCTGAAACATATGGTTGCTAAGTAAGGTGAGCAGTTTGAACCAAATAGCCATTCCGTGGGAAAAAGATGAGGCAGTCTGCTTCCGTGGAGATTCACAGCCTTGGAAACCCTATGAGGCAGTTCTTCTCTGTCCTAAAGGGTCACTATGAGTCAGAAGCGATTCCATGGCAGCAGAGTTATTTTTTTCAAGAACACATTAGAAACCCAAATGTGGATAATTCAGACATGATCCCTTCTTAGAATTACCTGTCACATTTATCGGGGTCAAGGGGTTGATAGTGGGCTTCATAGCAGTTAATTCTCTTCATGAAGTCCTCCATGGCTTCTGCTGAGTTGCAATGTTTGTAATCCGGACTGGAGATTTTCACTTCCTGTTAACACCACAAAGAGGCAGCTGATGGATGAGTCATGCCAGGAGGCTTTTTACTTAGATTAAACAGGATTTGGAGCTTTCAAAAGGGGAAAGCACAGAAAGGCTCAGAACAAAGGTTATCCTAGCCAGTGTTTAAGAAGAAAAAGAAGGAAACTACAGGCTGAGTCATAACTTGATTATTATATGGTGAGGGCACCAATGGTAGATAAAGAATTGCTGGTTGGAAGGCACGCTGCCCACTCAGCCCTCGGAAAGAGATGACGTCCACGAGGATTCCTTAATGAAAACCTCTGACTAGTCTACCATTGAGGAACTCAGTCTGCCAGAAGGCCTAGCCCTCAATCCAGCTGAATTCCACATCAGTATCTGCAACACCCCCTGCACCAGAGAGTCAGTTATTGGTTATAAAGGCATACTCGAGAGTTGCTGGAGTTGCTAGAGAAGGTCCTGGCTCTGAATCTCAGACACAGTTCCTCTTCCACCAGCCCAAAGACCAAGGCAGCCAACACTTGTAACTAGTCTGTTACTAACTACAATAGCTAGTGTGCAACACTAAGAACACGCGTTTTTCCTGCTCAGAGGTACTCTAATGAGGAGTGGGCGGACAAGTGACACTCAGACCACCTATACCCTGTAACCAAGCTATAGGTCTGAGCAACCTGAGAAACTCCGAATTTGCTAACACATGTGCTCTTTTTTGCTTCACCAACTACCATAGCTTTGAAAGAAAGGTAACCACTCTTCAAAAACCTAAGTTCAAAAATTCTTTTCTTCCCAGCTGCCCACAGTTGCCTACATAGAGAACGCAGTGGGGAGGTCTGACCTGCAAAGCTGCTTTGAGTCATAATCAGAGAAAGACATTTCTGAAAACATAGAGTCAGGACAAATGATTAAATATGTTAAAGAACTAAGAAATGAATAGTAATCTCCTAGCTAAGCTTACTGGTGACCACTCACTGGGGATAAATCACTTGGTAGTTACGCTTTTAGTTTTTTTTTTTAATTGTTTTTTACACTTTGCTTCACTACCAAGTGAAACTAGCAGAGCCAAACCAAGGAATTATAGTAAAACCCTTTGTTTAGATTATTGCAGTTATCTGTTTTCTTGTACTCTGAATCATTTCCTTTGGACCCAATGAAACCAATCTGAACAAATTTCCACATTGCTTTGAAATATTCCCTCTGACTTGGAGAAAAGGTCTAACATAAGAAGGGAATGCATGCTTAGCACCTCTTTATAACTACACATTGCTATACAGAGTCCCTGGGTGGTGCAAAGAGTTAACATGCTAAGCTGCTAACCGAAAGATCAGTCGGTTAGAGTCCACCCAGAGGCTCCTTGGAAGAAAGGCCTGGTAATCTACTTCCACAAGATCAGCCACTGAAGCACAGACCTACTTTGATACATATGGGGTTGATAATACGGGGTTGCTGTGAGTTGGAAGTGACTTCACAGCAACTGGTTTTCAGTTTGTACAGCAAGACCACAAAGTTCCATGCAGAAGTATTAAGACTGCTTTTCTTTATAGATAAGGTACTCTCTCTGGTGGCTCAGTGGTTAAGACATTTGGCTACTAACCAAAAGGTTGGCAGTCTGAATCCACCAGCTGCTCTGAGGGACAAAGATGAGGTAGTCTGCTTCTGTAAGGATTTACAGCCTTGGAAACCCTATGGGGCAGTTCAACTTTGTCTTATAGAGTCACTAGGAGCTGGAATTGACTCAATGGCAGTGGTTTTCTTTATAGAGACATCTTATTCTAATGTATTTAAACTGGACATAAATTTATTCACTCCATGAGAAGGTGACCTGTGGTAAAGATTTCATAGTAAACACTTCTTTCAGTATTTATGATATATTGCTATCAACTGATAAAATTTAGGAATTCAAATTAAGCTGCTAATTACCCCCAAGGTATAAGGCAAACTTCCCCTTGACATGGGGAGATTGGCCCTATACATTGGGCCACTAGATGGAAGGAAGATAATTTTACTATCCCATTTCTTCCCAAACTTGGAAACTGATTTCAGTTTAATGAATTCTATAAGCTTCTGTCAATACATAACTATTCTTATCTATCAGGAACCTTAATAGCAAAAGAGAGCATCAGCCTATTGCCTACCTTCCCATAAGGCAAGGCTGAGAGCTTCTGTGTCGTTTCTTCCAAGTAGCCCCAACACACATCAGCCAGGACTGCCAAGCTACAGAAATTATTCCTAATCCTCCCCACTTTACCTTCTATGGTCCAACAAAGACTATGCTCACTACCAACTGTCTGAAAAGACCCCAAGAAGAGCCAGCCTAGGTCACAGAACATGCTTCTAAGTTAAGAAATACTGCTTCATATTTCTATCCTCCCAGTATCCAGCTTCTCAGACAATATCAACAAAAGGAGGAGAACAAGCTCATTCTAATAGTTTCACTTTCAGGGCTTGGCTTGCTTTCACACTTTTCTCAGATTGCAAATGTCCTTGCAGCCTAAGTTACTGCAGAGAACAGGGGTCTTCTGTTTTCTCTTACCATGATGTTGGAGGCTACAACTGTAGGGTCATCACACACAGACTCAATGAAAAACACCTGGGTGGAAACAAGACAAACTGGAAGTTAGGTACCAAGTGTGAAGCAGGCACAGTAATCTGCTCCAGGCACAGTAATCATCCCACCCCAAGGTTTTTTCCTTTCTCCTGAGCTCTCTGGGACAAGACAGGACAAGAAGCTTGGCTCACCTTGAAATCATTTTCTTTGGCAAAATGAAGGATCATGTGTCTTCTCTCTCTAGTAGTATTGGTGGCATCAAAAACCTGGTAGAGAGAAAGAAGGGCAGGCAGTGAAGAACCTAATTTTCAGTTTAACAATATTTACCAAATCTCTGAATAGGTCAGGCCTGTCACTTCCATGAATAAGCCAAAAATGTTGGTTCAAGAAGAGACTGTACCCTGCCCAAGGCCTCTCTAGGAGTACGCAGAACCCAGGCCCAGCACTGTGCCAGCCCTCCCCTCTCCCTCTGTTCAAAAATGTGAGGGACAGTAGGGGAAGGGGTGGGAAGAGTTATTTAAAACAAACAGAAAATTGCATGCAGTGGGAGGAGGACGTATGTGGAAGTCCATTAGCTCCTATAGCTGGCAGCAACCCCAGGTCCTCCCAGCCTTGGTGGGTGGTAGCCTAACTGTACATAAAGGATGAGGGGATGAGCAGAGCACTCGTACTACTGTGTCCTTGAGTCCACCCCCACCGACCACCTTGCTGAGCTACTATACTGCTCTAACCACATGGTTCCCTCAACCCTCAGGACCAGAGGCGCTTGTCTATGTTTGCAGTGTCTGATTGATGTCTCTTAGCACTTTTTCAGGTCAATGTCTCCATTTCACTCTTTGAAGGAAGGCCATCCTGATATGGGATTGAAAAACAAGATAGTAGCATTCCCTAGACTTACCGCAATTTGGCCTCCTTCCTGCATCAGGTATGTTTTGACATCTCTCAAGGCTGCTAAGGCACACTGTCTGCAACATGCAAGAAAAAGAAGCCCAAAATCAGGAAGGGCCCATCTGGACCAGGTAAGTCCAAACAACTTGCCTCACCCACCCCAGTAAGCAAAGTAATGACAAGGTCTGTCTCTAAACTGCCCAGTGCTGTGGCCAGGCTCACCAAGCCTTCATTGGCATCAGCCCCTTCAGGCCTAGAGGCTCCCCAAGTTGAGGTTCAGGATAGATAAACTCCAATCACCCTCAGGAAGTGGTGCTCATGGCTGGATGCACAAATGGAATCCCCTAAGGGCTTTCAGAAACTAATGCGCAGATCTCACCTACAACATCTGAGTAAATTGGTCTGGGGTATGGCCTGAGATTAGGATTTTTTACTAGCTCCACAAGTGATTCTATATGCAGTCAAAACTGAGTACTACTGCACTCAAAAAACCAAACCTAACTCACTGTCATCGAGTCGATTCTAACTAATAACAACACTCATTAGGTTTCTGAGGTGGTGAATCTTTACAGAGGTAGGTGTCCCATTTTCCTTCCTTGGAGCAGCTGATGGGTTTGAACCGCCAACCTTGTGGTTAGTACTCAAATGCCTTAGGCACTGTGCCACCAGAGCTCCTTACTATTGCACTGTTGTTGTTGTTGTTGTTGTTATGGGCCCTCGAGTCGGACCTGACTCATAGCGAACCCTCCTTGGGTTTCCGAGGCAGTATCACTATGGAAGTAGATTGCCCCATCTTCCTGTCGAGTTTGAACCACCAGCCCTCTGGTTAGCAGTCTAGTGCCTTAGGCACTATGCTACCAGAGCTCCCACTATTGCACCAGAGTTTGATAATCACCTTTTGCTTTTAAAAAATTCTTCTCGAGTATAAACAGGTAATTTTCGGTGAAAACGATTTTGATCATTCTTAATGAGATGTTGTTGCTATTGATCTATATCGCATCAGCTGAGTTAGAACATTTTCAAACAGATCAAAGCAAGGAGTCTGACACAGGCTGAGAGACTTGTCCTAAACTAAACTGCAGCATAGCTGCCAGCAGAGCTGGGGCCAAATCTAATGGCCGTCAACCCTATCTAGATAAGCCAGAGGCCAGAGGGCCACACTGCAGGTCTATTTTCTCTTTCTCTTAAAGAAGATGTTTTTAAACAGCAAAGTAAATCCAAACCCAAAGCCTTCAAGGCAGTTCATGTCTTACTTCCGGACTTTCATGGCCTCTTCATTGTCAGGGCGAAAGAAGTCGTAGGAGCTGTATTTCTTCACAGCCTCCCGGCGATACTCACCCACGTTGAACACTGTGGATGGAAAATAAAAGGTCAGCCTAAGATGACCAAGCAGGACAAAGGGACCTACTCACAACTGGAAGCATGATCTCAAAAAAAATTAAAAAATCAAACAAAATCCCACCAATTTTTATCGGGTCCAGTCTCTAATCCTAGTCTCACAATGGCATGGAACAGAGACTGAGACTGTGAGAACAGAGGCAGTTAAAAGTCTAGTGAAAACAGGGACAATGATTTCTGCCAACCGTCTCCAAAAGTCAGTGGGGTCTCATACCCACTGCAAGGTCCAAACCAGCCGCTCCTCTGCTGACTCAGCAGCCAGAGCCAAGGTGGCGGTTGTTGTTAGGTGCCACCAATTTTCAACTTGTAGTGACCCTAACTGACAGAGTAGAGCTGCCCTATAGGGTAATTTAGGGTATAATCATTATGGGAGCAGATCAGCAGGTCTTTCTCCTACAGAGTCTCTAGATTGATTCAAATTGCCAGCCTTTCAGTTAGCAGCCAAACACTTAACCATTGAAACCAGGGCTCCTTCAACATCAATAAGGCTATCTAATTCTGTTTTCCCCAGTGCATTTAATATTGATTGGGCACAAAGCATGTACATAGCACTGTGCTAGGCACAGTACAGGTAAGAAAATATAAGATCTAGTCCCATCATCAAGACATTTCTCATCTGGACCATGGTCACAGGGGACATCAAGCTTAACTGATACATAACATAATACACAAAAACACTGTTTTGTGTATTATGTTATGTATAACATGGGGTCTTAAAAGCTTGTTATGTATAACATGGTGCAAAAACGGCAAGGAGGCCACATGTTCTGACCTCCTCTAACCCTACAAGGGGAAGGCAGGATTACCAGCAGTAACCCAAGGCCTATTACTGCCAGGCCAGACATGTTGCCTCCCTCCAGTCCTTTCTCCAACCGTTCCTCCCAGAGCACCCACCACCTCTCTCCTGGGTTCGAT